GCCCCTCTTCACCCCCCTCCCTTCATGCACCCCACCTCCCCTCAGTGGAGGGGAGGTGGGGTGCATGAAGGGAGGGGGGTGAAGAGGGGCGGGCCTCGCCTGTGGTCGAAGCAGTGGATGGTGATCACGTGGTCCGGGGAGAAGGCCTTGCCCGCGCGGTGCGAAGCGCGCCGGAAGTAGGAGCGCCGCTTGTTGGACGGCAGCGGCGCGCCTGCGTGGGTGGGGGTGGGTGAGGGGGGGGCCGGGGCCCGGCCATGCTGCCGTGAGGCTGGGTGTGACGCAAGCTGCTGCTGCTGCTGCTGCTGCTGCTGCTGCTGCTGCTGCTGCTGCTGCTGCTGCTGCTGCTGAAGAGTCCCAGGAATACAGTCTTCGCCACGCCCCCCACCCTGCACTACCACAGCCTCGCACCCCTCCAGACACAAAGAGTTGATCACACTCCCCACCTGCACACAGGACACCCCCAGCGCGCAGCAAGCAGCGCACGCCCACACACCCGCGCCCTCCCACACACGCACGCACGCACGCATACACAACACACACGCAAACACACAAGCTACACACACAACCAGCCCCACGCCTCACCCTTTGCCCCCGGCCCAAACAGCAGCCGCGTGTCCTCCTCTGCCTCCACCAGCCCCGGCTCCTCCCCGGCCCGCGACACATTGAGCACCTGCGCCGCCGCGCACAGCGGACCCGTGACGTGCGGCCGGTCGCCGCGCAGCTGCAGGGCCAGGGTGCTGCCCAGCCTGCGCGCGGCGCCATGTGCGAGGGTGTGAGAGAGTGGTACATGTGATTATCGATGAATATGAATGGGTGTATACACATGAGATGTCCGAATTGCAATTACATGCAGACACGTTGGTGCCTACATGGCACCCCGCCGCCGTATCATCCCCGGGTTCGCGAGGTAAGGGGGGGGGGGGGGAGCGGCGATGGCCCCACGCGTGCGAGTGCGGGCAGCAACGCGCACCTAGCGGACAGCCACCGCAGGGCCGGCCCCAGTATGATGGGCGCGGGGCAGCGCATGCGGCGCGAGTAGAAGGATCCGTACTGCAGGTCATCCAGCGGTACTGCGCGCTTCAGGCGGCCCTGGCGGGACGGTCGGAAAGGCGGGGTGTCGTTTGCGTCACCAGTCGCTGCTGAGGCATGTTTGGGAGGCGTCGAGCAAGGCGGCAGCCACCACGCCGCATGCGTGAGCGCATCAGAGCGGGAGCTACATACGCGGACGGCGGGACGTGCGCAAGCGCTGCCACTCGCGTGCAGCTGCGGCCGCTGCGCCGCGGCGCGGGGCTGCGCCAGCCGTTGCACTCCTGCAGCTGGCCAGCCTTCTGCCGCTCTTGGCAGAAGGCTGGCTCATGGCTAACCTGGAACATGACCCACATCTGCCTCTTCTTGCCGCTGAGCAGGGCGGCCGCCTCGGGCGCCTGCTGCTCCGCTGGGAGCCGGAACACCACCTGCGGGCGCGGCGCGGCGCGGTGCGGGCGCGCGGCGTCGGTGTGTGCTGCGGGTACGTGGCAGCGTCGCGCTTCCTGCCCCGAGTGGCCAAAAAGGCTTCGCCGCGGGCTGCCACGTTGGCGGCGCGGATTGCCGCAGCTGTCATGGGCAGGGGCGGCGCTGCTCGCGCAGCTGACAAAGGCGGCGGAGAAGCGGGCGATGCAGGATAGAGGCAGGCTCGGCACCTTCACAGCCTATTCAATAACAAGGACGCGAGGCGGCAACAGTGGCAGCCGCACAGCCCCACACACCTGCATGACGCCAACAAACAGGTCTGTCTCAAAGTGCGTCGGCTCGCCAAGGCCGCCGTGCAAGGGGATCGCGGGGGCCGCAGCGTCGGCGCCAGGGGGCGCCGCGTCGCCAGCTGCCGCGCCTGTCAGCCGGGTGTGCATCCCGCAGCCCGGCCGCGGCCGAACCAGCAGGTTGCAGCCGGGCGCAAACTGCGCCTCAGCCGGCTCCCCTGGGTCATCCACCGCACCCATGCCACAAGGTGGCGCGGGCGATGCCGTGGCGCAGTCCGCGCCACTGAGCGGTGTGTGTGCGCGCTGCGCGGGCGCTGCGAGCTCGCTTCAGTGCCGGTCCCTTGACACCGGGCTTGAAACGAGATACGATACGGTGATATTTCGCACGATAAGAAGCAGAAAACGGGGGGCGGCCAAAGGACGGGCTGTCTCCTCTGAGTGAGTCTGAGATCCCGTGAGCGCTGCCCGCGTGCTCGAGGCTGAGCGTTATGCAGTTACTTGCTGCGATTGATTCTTGTTCAATTGGTCTATCAATGACACCCCTGCCAAGCCCATGCATGCGTCTGGTCCCACTTGCTACACACCCGGGCTCAGCCAGGCTGTGTCACACCTGGCGACGGCAACACCTGGCGTAGGACGCAACCCCGCGCGCTTTTTCCCTGTTGGCAGGCGGTAACCATGTTTCTAGAGACAGCACACAAGGTCAGGGCCACCACAGCGCTCAAGGTGCGCAAGCCAGTGCCATTCCCCCCCCCCCCC